GGTAGATAAATTTACACTATAATAATCGATGTTGAAAAACCATATATAGTGCATAGTACCTATGTATATTGTATAATACAGTATAAAGAATTTTGGGTAGACCATATTTTCTTTGATTTGTTTTCTTGGTTGAGGATTTTTGTAGTGTATCACTACGTGACGAGAGTATACATGTAGTCATGTAAGAAACAAAGTCGCATTTGGCATTTCCAGACTACCATTATAAATTGTAAAACCAATGTAAAATAATAGTTAAGAGGACGCCATACCCACGTGTGTTGCCTCTCCGTTTTACAATTGAAAAAAAGTAGCAAAAACTGTTTTAMACGGGACAAAACTTAGAATTCTACAGAGTACAGGCATAAATAAGATACGAAATTTTCATTCTATAAAGAGGTAAACATTTACTGTGCAACGTTGTTTTTATTTTTTCGATATCACAAATGCAAAAAAGGTATTCTAGTTTGAAAAATTAATTTCTTTGGAGTTTTCCAAATTTATATCCAGAATGTCYGGGGTCGTATTTAGGGGGATGCTACAGGGTACTTGTAATGTTTTATGTTAAGTAATGTTGGTCACATTGTATTTACATTGAGGCTTATATACACTGACACATCATAGTGATCACTGATCAGGAGGCATGGCAGTTACAAACTGCGTATGCACTTTGTAAAAGATCCCAACTACCTATTTGTATTTTATAACAAAGGTTAATTAATAATTATGTATATTAATCCGAGTTATTATTATTATTTAATTATAACTGTTGAATATTAAATATAACAGTACTGTTGCCCCGGGAGGCCGAGTAGGACTAGTAGGAGAGGGCGGCTAATTTTCTATAACTTAAATTTGTATTTTGTATAATGATTAATGAGACATATTTTATTTTTGTTGCCCCTTTTGGTGTCAAATTCCTAAATACGGCCCTGAGAATGCCCGTTGGTAGGTATATAGAGTAGTAACCCCTCCCCGAGTTATTATTTAGAATTTCCACATT